GGTACTGGTTGCGGATGGCAGCTACGGGTTGGGTAATCATGCCCACCACGTAAGCAGGCAGGCAGACCTTGAGGAATCTTGAGTTCTTCAGTATGCCGAGGATATGGAATATGCTCTGGCGGTCCATGTTGGAGCTGCAAGCCTTCCGAAGAACCTGGCAGATGAGTTCCAGGAAGCTGGATTTCATGGAAGAATGAGACAGGAGTTCCTTCAGTCCTAAACTGCTGGCAAGTGTGATGGCCACCTCAGAGGGGTCTTTCTGCAAAAGACTCTCTAAGAACTTGTAGCCCAGTTTCTTCACCTGCTGTGGCTGCTCTGCAGGCTTCTGGTGGGGTGTTCGCCACTGCTGGAAGTTATCGCTGGACCACGGCGGTCTGTGGTTCCTCCCCTCCTGGGGGTCATCTCTCCGCCTGGGGTCATTCTCTTGACCATGTCTTTGGCCTCTCGCTCCATCACTGGTATACCGTTCCTGGTTCCTTCTTCCCTGATGTGGATTCCTGCCCATGGCCCTGAATCTGTCTTCTCTCTGCCGGTAAGGAACAGGATGACTGGCGGTCCTCGAGTGCCGTTCAGGATAATCCGCTCCCTCTCCAGATGCACTGGCTGGTGGGTTACTGGCCTGATCTCTAGCTCTTGGTGCGAATTCTCCATCCAAAGGCCCTAAAGTAATAAGCACAGAATCAAGGACAAGAAAACCCCACAGGACAACAAAGAACATGATTTTATTTCCTAAAACAACTGAGGAGCACCAGGTTCTCTTGGAGAGAAAAGAAGGTTTCCTACCAAGTTGTGTAGTAAATAAAAGATAGAGCAGTGAAGTAAAGTATGGTGGAACATGCCTGTAATCCCAGCTCTCAAGAGGCTAAAGCAGAAGGAAAGTTCAAGGCCAGCCTGGGCTACATAGTAAGACCCTGTCTCATAAAAACCAAATGAGAACACCAAGCAATAACAAAAACAAAAGAGAGAGCTCAGGAGGAACACTCTTGCCTAGCACGCAGGAGGCTTTGAGTGCAATTCCCACCACCATAAAAAAAAGAGAGTATGGGCTGGGAAGGTGGCTCAGTGGTAGAGCGCTTGCCTTGCATGCCTGAGGCCCTGCAAAAAGAAAAAAAGAAAAAAGCCGGAAGTGGTGCTGTGGCTCAAGTGGTAGAGCGCTAGCCAGAGCTGAGGGACAGCGCCCAGGCCCAGAGTTCAGGCCCCATGACCGGACCCAAAAAAAAGAGTATTTATTTCTGGGTAGACTGAAAATACTGTTTTCCTAAAGGACGAAAAACCGAAGAGTAATAAACATTTATTGTATGCCTAATACATGCTAGAGAAAAGCACAACATATCTCATTTAATCCTCATAGCTGGGATTTAGGTCTCCAAGGCTGAAAAGCTAAGCTTGCTGGTTCCAGTCTCTTGTCAGCACCAAACTAGTTAGAACACGAGTCTTGGAGACAAATCTTGTTCCAAGGCTGACATGGTCACTTCCTCACTGGTCGCCTTCTCTAAGTCTCAGTGCCAGGCTTACAGGCGATGGAATGGTTTTAATGCTTTGAATGGCCTGGACACACGGAAAAAAGCTCTCAGTAAGTGTTATTCCTAGCAGCCATAGTAATGCTATTTTGCTGGGAATACCCAATCAATTTCCACAGGCACCGCTTCTGAGACCCAATAATCACAGGCTACAGGGACGAGAATATCAAATGAGGAAAACTGACACCACACCTGCCTGGCATCCACAAACGCACTGAGTGGAAAACAGCAAGACCAAGATATTTTTCAGCGAATTCAAAGACAGAGGAGGAAACTGAAACACAGACATTAAGTTTTGTTTCAGGAAACCGAAAACAAAACTCCAGCTTTTGGCCTGCACCAGGAGTCCATGGCAAAGCTCCTATCAATGGAGAACACATGCAGGAAGTGGGGGAGGGGGGCTGGCAACAGCACACTGGGCTCCGCCCCCCCAGGGAGCCAAACCTGTCTTCCTCCATCTGCCACTCATTCCAAAAACGCCCTTGCCAGACATACTGAGTCCAGGTTCTCACTTCCCTTTCCTCTAACTCATTCTGGAACCGACTCAAGTGTGCAAAATGACATGGAGAATGGGAAACAAAGAGTAGACCTACAGTGACTCCACAATATAAGACATCACAAAGCTGCAAGCACATACAGCACATCATCCCATGCACCAGACACTGAGCACAACAATGGGCACTTTTCGTTTTACACTTGTAGGGAAAATTCATTACAGTGCTTTGTCCAGGGCTCTGCTAGGTAGCCTACGCTGGCACTGAAATCTCTCCTGCCTTAGCCTCTTGAGAGCTGGGATTCAAAACTATGCCAACCATACCTGGCTAAAGAAAATTTTAACACAACAATGTAAAGGAGTATTTGGTAAAATGCAAATGTTATGCAATCGAACTCCAACTTTCATAATTGTTATATTCATACTACCTTGCAAACTCCTACAGTCATAAGTCAAAGTTTCGTTTTGTTTTGTTTTGCCAATCATGGGGCCTGAACTCTGGGCCTGGGTGCTGTCCCTGAGCTCTTCAGCTCAAGGCTAATCTTCTACCACTTGAGCCACAGCACCACTTCCAGCCCTTTCTGCTTATGTGGTGCTAAGGAATCAAACCCAGGGACTCATGCATGCAACGCTCCTTTCCAGTCTCAAAGTTTTTTGGTTTTTGCTTTTCTTTTTTGGTTTTATTTGAGGCTCAGGGCACTGCCCCTGAGCTTTTTTTTTTTAATCAAGGCTAGTACTCTTCCATTTGAGCCACAGCTCCACTCTGGCTTTTTGATGGCTAACTGAAGATTCTCAAGGATATTTCTGTCTAGGCTGGCTTTGAACCTCAGTCCTCAGATCTAAGCCTCTTACATAGGTAGAAGTACAGGTGTGAGCCACCAGCCCCCAGCTTTTGTTTTTTTAAAAAAGTCCTACTTTTAATATCTTCATCTTGTTTGAAGTCTCTATTAGGCTGGGTGCTGGTGGCTCACACCAGTAATACTAGCTACTCAGGAGGCTGAGATTTGAGGATCACGGTTCTGGGAAAAAAAATCCCTCTGAGACTCTCTCATCTCCAATTAGCCACTCAAAAACCAAAAGTAGAGCTATAGCTCAAAGTGGAGCAACATAGCTCAGGGAAAGCACCCAGACCCTGAGACCAAAGCAGGATCCTTGGCTGTTTTAAAAAGTTCTGAGTAAGACTGACAACATAGCTTAGTGATAGAATTCTTGCTTAGCATGTTTGAGGTCCTGGGTTCTATCCTGGCACACTACACACACACACACTACACACACACACACACACACACACACACACACACAGGAATGAGCAAATGGAACGAATGTTCTCTTCAGCAGCATGAAACTTGGACCTGAGCTATGCCATACATCGTCACTGGGCACCTGTGGCTATAAAGTATTTGAACTGTGGCTGACAAAGTTTTTTGAAGTGAAATAAAAATATCATTAAAATTTTTAAAATGTTACATAGAATAACATACTGAATCCCTGATTATGATAAAATAATATTTTGTGGTAGAGCATTAGCCTTGAACACAGAGGCTCAGGACAGTGCCCAAACCTTGAGTTCAAGCCCCAAAAACAGAAAAAAAAGAAAAAGAGAGATTAAGACATTAAGGTATTAAACTAAAAACAAAACAAAACCAAACAACCCTCTTTTCCCCACTTCAAATGATGCTACTAGAACATTAAAAACTGTGCTTTGGGCATGTACTTTGTTTCCACTGGATAGCTGCTCCAAACCAAGAGTTATTTCCACTTAGGATTTGCTAAAGTGAACGGTCCCCACTCATCAGCTCTCTTGGAAGTGGAGGGCTGGCTCGACCTCACAGTCCTTTCTGCTGTAGCTGAGGAGTAGGTCACTTTGTCCACTTTAAAGACGCAGGCAGTGCAAGGTGGGCTGACTCAGCTCCTCACCCCAGAACCCTGCTCACCTCCATGGTTGGTGTGGGGATTCCGGGGCCTGGCCTCCCCATGAGGTCTTCTCTCCTCCATGTCTGAGTCACTTCAATTCTGGAACTGCACGTGGAAAATTTTTCAGTGTCCTTAAGCCATTTACATCTTAAAATGTCAAATGCCTTTAAAGTTAAATGATTTATTAGCTAAGTGCTAAATGCAGTTTAGCCAAGAGCACAAATGCTCGACTCTGAAGGCCCCATTATAATACAGAAATGAGATTCACAACTGCAATGACCCCTAGGGACAGCTTCCACCTTCTTCTGACTCTGGAACTTTCACTTTCGGGCACTTTTTCTCAACTACTGTTTAGTTTATGCCTTCGGTCAAGTCACGCAATCAATTGCTAGGGTTCATTTTCCCTTCTGTTAGGCCGGTAACTTACTGCCAGGAAAAAAGTACATTTTTGTTAACCCAAGCCATGTACTTACACCTATCTGGTGTTCATAGGACCTAGCACTCTATAGGTTCTAGTTCGCATGTTCTGAAAATAGTGAGCATGAAAGCCCTCAGGCCTGCCGAAATGATTGCTCTGGAAACATCTTCCTCAAGAGCAGTCAGAAAGCGGCAGTCCTTTCTTCCTGCCATCTTGATGAGTTTTGACACAGTTCTATAAGAAGAAAGCCCTTTAAGGCAACATCTCAATATAACCCATGCACATGATGTGGGCTGGGGCTAGGGGAAAAGTAGGTGACTCAATCCTCAGCAAAAGAATTTCTGAGCCTGTCCTTGTCACCGAGTTTTAAAATATTCATAGCTGGAAACTGTGGGCAGATTTGGCATTCTATGAGATAGCTTTTATCCTCATCAGAAAAAGGAGTCCCTTTTCTTCCCCGTGGGAATATTCTTATAGTCTCTTCCTTCCTCTTATCAATGCCTGTTTTCACGGTCCAGGTGGAAAACTTAGTTGCTGTGGTTCCTTTCAGTGTGGAGGGGACAATCCTTTCTTCCTCTTTTCGAAAAACACTAACAGAAATCCAGAAAATGGGGGAGGGGGGGGAAAGTAAAGGAAAATAAATAAAGGAAATGCCATGGGGAAAAACAAAGAGGGAACTAAGTGTTTGGAGAATCCAGGCAGTGAGGGCATGAGGTCGGGAAGGGCCAAACTGGCTGGCGATGGGAATCCCGGAGAACGGGAAGTCAGTCTGCGCAGTCCTGGGGGGGTCACTGGCAGCAAAGCCCACTTCACAGCCCTGGGGTCAAGGGGGTCAGGAGGGTGGAAGGAGCCCCTGGCTGGGGCTGGGAAGGTCGGGGGGGGGGGGGAGTGGAGGCAGGAATGCCGGGGGGGGGGAGTGGGGTAGCAGGAGCGAGGCCAGGGGCAGGTGGCAGGGGTGAGGGGCAGAGCCGGAGAGGCCAGCGGGGGCCCTGGGGGGACGGGGGCGCGGGGGGCGGCGGGACCTGGGGCGTCCGGGCCCCGGGGGGGGGACTCGGGCACAGGTGCGGGGCGGGCGGCGGCCACTCACCGGCTCCGGCTCCGGCGCGTCCTCTCGCCGCCGCCGCCTCGGCTCGGCTGCGCTCGGCTCGGGCCGGAGGCCGACGCCCCGCCCGGGCCGCGCACTTTCGGTTTCCCTTCCCCGCAGGCCGGGGCGGGGCGGGGCGGGGCGAGGCGCCCGGCGGGCGGCCCGGAGGCGGCGGCGGCGGCGGCGGCAGGCGGGGGCGGCGGCGCGGGCCGCGGGCGCCGCGGGGGCCCGGGCTCGCCGGCCCGCGTCCCCGCCCTCGGGGCGGGCGGAAGGGCGGCGGCGCCTCAGCTCCCCGCGGCGGCGGACTCGGGCGGGCTCAGCCGAGGGGTGGGGACCGCGGGGGGCGGGCGAACTGCGCCCCGGGCCCTCGCCAGCCTCCGCCGGTCCCGAAGGAACGGGGACCCGGCGGACGGCCCGGTGCATGCGAAGCGCGACATGGCGGCGAGGCTGGTGGGGGCGAGACCGTGGAGGGGGGAGGGATGCGAGGCGGGGTGCGGCCGGACTACTATCCGGAGGAACTACATTTCCCAGGTGTCACCGCGGCCGCGGCCGGAAGGGGGCGTGCCCGAGCTCCCGCGCAGGCGCGCCACTCGCTCGGTCCTATATAAGGGAGGTCCGGCCGACCGTCGTTCTTTCTGCTTTTCGGCGCCCTTGGCGGCGGTTCTTCCGTGGTGGGATGCGCCCGCCTCGCGGGGCCCGTCTCGCGCGCGGGGTGAGTGGAGGCCGCTTCGGCCCGTCTCTTGCAGGTCCCCGGTCCTTTGCCTGTGCGGCCGGGCCTGTGTCCCGTGTTTCTCCCAGCAGGAGCCCCGGGGCCGGCCGGGGTGGGGGCGTCCCGCGCGCCTGCGCGGCCCGGCGCGGGCCGGTGGTGATTCCCTCTTCCCCCACCGGATCCGCCCTGCCGGGCTCCCGGGACGTTTGCCAGTTGGTGCTGATGCGCCCGTGCGGGCCGGCCCGGGCCCGGCGGCCCATCCTCGCCCTTTCTCTGCTGCAGGTGAGCGCGGCCCGGCGGTGCGGGATGGCTGCGGGGCCCGGAGCCCGCCGTCGGCGCCCCGGGGAAGCCGCTTCCGGACCGCGGCCCCCGTCCGTCTCCTGACCCCCTGGGTGAGCGTCCATTCCTCCCGAGGCTTCTGCCGGACCACGTGCTCTGCACAGCCCCGAGTTGGCCGGGAAAACAGGGTGTTGAGTTCGAGGTTTAAGCGACAGGTCGTCCCGTGTCTGCTTCCAGTCGGCGGCGTTGGGAAGGGGACCCCGGGCGGTGTGAGCACCTGCTCCAAGCCGCCACCAGCCTGAGCACCCCTCGGCGCTGGGAAGCACTTCTCACAAGCTTGGCTGTTACAGCTGAGATCTGGGGAAGGAGTTCGTGCTTCCGGTGGGTTCTCGGGCGTTTAGGTTAGCATGACCGAGTTGGGAGTTTTTAAGAAGGTGCATGAGATTGTCAAGTACGTAACGCTGCAACCTTATTGTCCCGGGCTTGCCTTACTCTTGTGCTGGTAGAAGGGACTTGGCTGGTGGATATAAATCGGTTTGCGTCCCGGCAGGACAGGCACGTTGGGGCAGTTGGCTGGCATGCGTGATGACTGAACTTTTTTCCCCGACTGATCGACCATGTTGATCTAAGCTCTCTTAAGCCAGTTTCTGTCTGATATGCCAGCCTGAGTAGCACCTCGGTCCCTTCCTCCCTTAGCCATCTAACTGATAGGAGCTTGTCTCTCTGCAGTTTGTGTCCAGGCTTTCTGATGACAACCTGACTTGGGATGAATAGAGCAGCATGGATTGCAAGAGTAGGGAAGTGACCTGATGGGTAAGTGCTTGCAGTGAGCTGTCGATGGCTGATACCCCTTCTGAAGTCCACTTTAATTGCTGGTGCACCTGATGACTCAACTTTTTTCCCCATCAGATCGACCCTGTTGATCCAACTGAAATATAAGCCAGTTTTGTCTGATGCATCAGTTACAGAAATAAGTTTGTCTTATGGGCTGCTTCTTTTAGGGCTTACTATTCAGCCTTTGACTAGTCTGGCCTTATGTTGATTTTTCCATAGGTCGGGGCCCCAGGTGCCACTGTCCTGTGATGCTTTGCCTTGCTAGCTAAACTGTTCCGCGACAAATAAGGTATACTTCCTCTTGATCAATCCCTCACCATACCATCTCCCAGGAAAAACCGGGCCAACTTTTTTTGGCTGGTTGTAGGTCTTGAACTCGGCCTGGGCGCTGTCCCTGAGCCTCAAGGCTAGTGCTCTATCACTTAAGCCATAGTGCCCAGGAATCGTGCCCAGGGCCTCATGCACAAAGGGCAAGCCCTCTCTGCTGACCCCACCTTCCCAGCCCCAGACCAACTTGCTTACTCTCAGACCTCCATGCTTGGTTATATGGCTGGAGTTCTATATCAACTAGACTGCTGTAGTAGGTTTCATTTGTATGCCTTCCTGAAGCTGAGGTCCACCCTTTTGAGGGCTTTGTCCATGCTGGGGCTTTAACTCTGCCTGTGCTCTTCCTGAGCCACAGCGCCACTTCCGGTTTTCTGGTGGGTTGAGATCAGTGTCCAGACTTGGACTGCTTGGGCTGGCTTTGAACTGTGATGCTCAGATCCCTAGCTTAGGGATTGATCTAGCTAGAATTACAGGTGTGAACCCTCAGCCCCCCCCCCCCCCCCCCCATGAAGTCTTTCCAATAAGCCTTTTTCCTGATTATTTTTGACTTAGCCAGGAAAAGCCTGTCAAACGGGTAAAAAGCCAGGCATGTGGCGTTTCCTCGCCCCAGGCAGGGCGAGAAGGGGGACGCAACACTGATTCATCTTTTTTTTCCCCTTAGGTGTTCCCAGCTAAGACCTGTTGGAAGAAATCAGCTGTTGTGAGTTAGTGGCGCACGAGTGTGTACTGCACTGAGAGCTCCATTTCTCCCCTGCCTTGGAGAGAAAGATCCATGGGTTCATGATCTGTATTTTGCTACTGGAAATAAAAAAAATTGTGCAAACAGCGGCTGTGTTGTCTCCAGTACTTGTCACATTGCCTGCTGGGGTGGGTGGTGGACACAGTGTGCCCTTCCTGGGGTGTGGTCTTGGCTGGTGGAGTTTCCATGCGTGTAGATAACCTAGGATCAGGCCTTTAAGAAAGGTCTGCAGTGGCTCCTGCTCATCCTTTCAAAGGTGCAGCGCTGTGCCTGTGGTGGGACTCTGGTCTGCTGGCAGCCTGCCTCATTATGAGGACAGTGCTGGGGAGGGGCTTGAGCTGCTACTCGATAGCTACATGGATCTAGACAGCACAGTGCTGTTAATATGCACAATGTCCAGAGTTCACCCAGGACATGGCAGGCATCAGACTGCTTCATCCCCGGAGTTCTCAACTAGTTCTGCCTGGCAGGTAGCTGTGCCAGTGAAGACCTTGGGCAACCCTGCCGAGACCTGCAACTTGGGCTGGATCTCTTTGAGCTCAATGCCAGATTAAACAAGCTGGGTGCTTTCCTGTAATCTCAGGAGGCTGAGGCCACCCTCACTCAGTGGAGTGAGCCCAGGTGGAGAACTAGCTTGAGCAGGGAACCTCAGGGGTTACGCTGGGTGGTGGGGCGGGCCGCACGGCTTGCTCTGGAGTGCTGGCTTTGTGTGAGCCTTTTCCTCAATGCTAGCACTCCACTTGAGCCACAGCGCCTCTTGTGGCTTTTTCTGTGTGCTATGAGGAAACGAAGCCAGGGCCTCATGCATGCTAGGCAAGCAGTCTACCACGAAGCCACATTCCCAGTTCGACCTACCTGTGGTCTGCCTGGGCTGGTTTCAAGTTATCTATGGATAACAGTGTCCTGAGCAGCTGGGGTTGCCGCATGGGTCATGGGCCCCCGCATTCCTGTTAATGTCTACCTGTCCTCTGTTCTACCAGATCACACGGGGCAGGTGCGTGGCTCAGGATGGACCCAGGAAGCACAGGCAGTGCCAGCAGTGGCAAGGGAGAAGGGAGTTACTTCAGTGCTTCACGCACTTGGGAGTTTTGCAAGCTGGGAAGTTCTGGAAACGTACCTAGCAATGGGAATATGCCTAATTACCCTGAACTATAGTCAATGATTAAGATGCTAACTACTCAGTTACCTGCGTGCTAGTATATTCTAAAAACCTAGCTGAGTTTGCCTGTGGTCCCAGCAGGACCTGGGAGGCTGAGGCTGGAGGATTGTGAGCTAGAGGCCAGCCTAGTTTACATAGCCCCTGTTACAAACAAGCAGCACCCCCACACTGGTGCAACTGCACTGGTAGGATGGGAGCCTAAAGGTGAGTGTGTGATGCCCAGCTGCGCTGTGAGCCTCAGGCTCTATTCACATCACCCGGCTGAGCACCTTTATAGCAAAAGGCTGTTAGCCCTTGAGCATGTCGGCCCTGGCCCCCTTTGACAGACAAGCTGAGGTTGAGTCTAGCAGTTCAAGGGCACAGTGAGTTCCACCTGACAGCTGGTCTAGGGTCCTTTTTGTCGTGGGGCTTGAACTCGGCCCGGGCGCTGTCCCTACACTCTTCAGCTCAAGGCGAGCGCTCTACCGCTTGAGCCACAGCGCCACTTCTAGTTTTCTATGGTTAACTGGAGATAAGAGTCACAGATGTTTCTTGCCTGGGCTGGCTTTGATTTGTAATCCTCAGATCTCAGCCTCCTCAGTAGCTAGTTTTACAGGCGTGAGCGCCGGGCACCTGGCCCGGGGTCCCTTCTCATCAAGGGTCAGTGGCCAGCTCCAGAGTCAGAAGACAAACCCCAGGCCCACCAATTGTCACCAGAGGTTCCTGTCTCCAGTCCCCTCAGCCCTACTGCAGCCTGAGCATCTGGAGCCTTTCCCGCGGTTCACCAGCCTGGCAACAGTCCACCAGCCTTTCCCTTTGTCTGGGAGCAGCCAGCTCTCCTCTGTGGCCTGGGTTGGCTCCCTTGAGCCCCAATCAGAGCTTCAGTTAAGCCTTGCTTGTGTTCTGATCTCAGCCTCTCCCTGAGTAGCTAGGATGACAGGCTCGAGCCACCGGCCCTTGGCTTTTTGCTGGTTACTTTAGAGATGGAGTCAGATTTTTCTGCCCCAGCTGACCTCCCATCCCAATCCTCTGGATCTCAACCTCCAAGAAGTTAGGTATGAGCCTGCAGTAGCTCATCATCAGAACCTGGCTCACCCTAGACACACTGAAAGCCACAGAGGACCTTAGCAGCGCTGGTGACTGTAGTGTGCTCATTTCCTTAACCGCAGGTGGCTTCCAGGCAGGGTGTTTAGTCTGGAAAAAGTGGAAAATTTGATTCTCTCTCTCTCTCCTTTAGATCCACTTAAAATAATGATGGCTTCCCTCTTCCTCCCTCCCCCACTTAGTCCTCCCTGATTACACCAATGTAGACCTAGGTTGAGCCAGTGGCCCCGAGTGAGAATTGATGTACTAGTTATTACTGGAAAAGCTGGCTGATTGGCAGAACTTGGGTGAAATTAAAGTGCTCACTTGGTGTTATTTTTCCCAAGCAATTCACTTTGTCTAATGTCAAATTCCCCACAATGGCAGTTCTTAAAAGCTGCTGTGGTGTGTGTGTGCGTGTGTGCGCACACACACACATCTACCAGTACTGGGGCTTGAACTCAGGACCTATCACCTGCGTTTGGCTGTTTTACTCAAAACCTGGTACTTTACCACTTGAGCCACATCTCCAATAACTACATTTGCTGGTCAATTGGAAATAAACTTTTCGGACATTTTTGTTCTTGCTGGCTTTGAATCTTGACCCTTAGATCTCAGCCTCCTGAGTAGGATTATAATTGTGAGCCACTGTATTCTTCCACAAACGTTTGTCCTTGAACTCAGGACCCTGTCCCATCTACCTTGGTAACTTCAGTGGCTCCCGCTTCTCACCCAGCTCCGTTTGTAAGCTTCCTAGCATGGATTTTAAAGCCTTCAATAATCGGTCCATTCAATGTCAATTATTTGTCCATTAATTAGACATTCATTAAGTGCCTACTGTATAGATGAACAAGCAGTATGGGAGGCCTTGGGGCTACAGCAAGGACAAAAATAGATGGGAATCCTTGCCCTTGGCTGGGGAATGCAGCTCAGTGGTAGAGCACTTGTTCCTAGATGTACCTGCTCTCATGGAGTGGACAGTCCAGGAGGAAGAAAGAGGCAATGAGCAAACAGGCAGGGCTTGAGTGGTAGAGCACTTGCCTAGCAAGTGTGTGGTCTTGCAAGTCCCAGTCACCACCACAAAAACAAAATAAGACAGCTGGGCCCTGGTGACTCATGCCTGTAATCCTAGCTACTGGGGAATTGAGATCTAAGGATCAAGGCTGGAAGCCAGCCAGCCCTGGCAGATGCGGGAGGGACTCTGGGGTTTGTCCCTCCTAGGAGGAGTAGAATTTCCCCCCTATCTTCCCAGAGGAGAGAAGGAAGTGCGTGGGAAGAGGTTTGTAGTTACTGCAAACCTTTGGCAGACAATAGGGTCCTGAGGATGATGGGGGTCAGGAAGGAGAGGGAGAGGGGGGGAGGGGGAGGGGCATGGAGGAAGGCTCTTACAGGCTGGACAGGAGAATGGGTATGCTGTGGCCAGCAGGGGGCAGCATCACCACATGGTCACTGCACTACTGCAGACAGATGTGTGCCGCAGCCACCAGGGGGCAGCATCCTCACACGGTCACTACCTCGCCTTGCTGTGTCTCTCCAGCAGGGAGCGCTGTCTGCTGCTGCTGCTGCCATACTGTGACCAACTTGGGTGAAGTAAGGTTGTTTTGGCTGTTGCATAGAGTCCCTGGTAAACCTCCCGGCGTGCATTTCCTGTAGAAAGGATCTGTTGTAATACACGTGATGTGCCTCAGTCGGGATGGTCTTTCTCAGTTTGGGGGGAGGGTGGGTAAAGAGCAGGCCATGACACTTGGCAGGAGAAGCCAGGGTTCTGGGTACTAGAGTCAGCCAGCCAGGCCGCCCCTGCCGTGCCAGATCTGTGTCCTGAAGATCAGATGGTTTACTCCAGCGGCTGCCGGCAGCCGTAAGCAAACAGGCGAGCCCGCCTCCCAGCAGTGAACTTGCAGAGCAGGGACCAGGTGGGGCCTGCCCAGCATGGTGGCTCTCAAGCCTGTGAGGAAAGCAGCAGCCTCGTCTGGCTTTGTGCAGCCTGCAATACCCGTGGGGCTGGGCATGCCCTACGTGTCCCACCCTGGCGGATGGCGAGCGGAGGTGAGTGCGGGGGCTGCTGCGTGGGGCTTCTGTGCTCCCGTGGGAGGGATATGTCCTGGTCCCCGAGGAGTTGGGAGACAGGCTGCTGCCTGTGCTTGCTGTGTGACCTCGGGCAAGTGTCTTTACCTCTCTGGGCCGCAGTCCCTTGTGTGAGATGCAGATGGGACAAGGCCCTGCAGGGTAAGTGGACCAAGAGGATGGGGACTGGACACAGCTTCCGGCACCCAGAGAGCTCCCCAGCCAGGTGGCCAGGCACTGCACCCCCCCCCCCCCCCCCCCGCCCCGCCTCATGAGCCAGATTCGACTCCCCTCATTCCATAGATGGGCGGCGTGATGGGATCAGGGTCACCCCCAGAGTCTGGCCCCAGCCGGCTCACAGCCCCGGCTCAGCGGGAGGGTCACCTCGAACTAATCATCGCTAGCGTTTGTTCTCAGCTTTTTCTATCACTCGGTGGATTTGTCTCATTTGTATGCATTCCCGTTCGTGTCGGGGCTTGAACTCGGGGCCAGGCTTGGGGGGGGGCAGGGGCGGGAGGGCGTGGGAGCCAGGCATGAGCACCCAGAAGGCGGGCAAGGCCGGCAGGCTCTGTCGGCCGCAGGGTGAGCTGGCAGCAGAGGCCGCTGGTGGGGGCCGGCGGGTTGGCCTGTGTGGGGGCCTGAGGAGGACCAGGGGCGACCACAGGACCACGGGACCGCCCGGGTCACCCGGGCAGCAGGAGCCCCCCGGGATGCTGGGGATGGACGCCAGACTCTCGTTGCCCGTTCCCGACCTGTGGGAGAGGCAGGCCTTTATGCACACGCCTTTCCACCAGGACCCTG